TACCAAAAGGTTTGTCTTTAGGCCCGGTACTTTTTCTCACTAGCTTTATGTCCGTATCCATATGAAGCTATCTTACACTCGAATTTCTAATCCAGAAACAAAACTCTGGCTAAATAGGCAGTGGTGACCGATCCATTTTACTACAGGGAAATAGCAGTTTACTACTCGGTTGGAGGTAACCTTCTCGTCTGATTCAACCACATGAAACACGATCAAAAACGGTAAACTATGCAAAAATGATTCCCCTCGCTTTTCTAGTTTAGGAACAATGGCACATCCAGGCATTTCAGCTGTTCATAGTATATTTTTTGTATCATCAGTAAACGAGACTCACTTCTATTCACTAACCTGACCATATGCTTCGTGTAAATTCATTCGGGTTGCCCTCGTGCGACCAGGCTCCATATGCGAGTCGTTGAGTTGGTTTTTGTTCGCAGTACTGTTATCCGGATGAAACTACTCATAAGATCGCTGAAAACTATTCAGCAAGCCATGAAAGCTAGTGCACTTCTCGCAGTCCATCAGTCCCCGAGTTTACGCCAAACCTATATTCTAATTGAAGCAAATTTATATCAAATTCGTGAAATACATGGATTTATAAATCAGTTTGGTTTTAACGGGAGAGCAACCTGAATCTCAGCCGAATCTTTCGCTTACGCCAGGTTGCGGAAATTCGGGGACCGTACCTTCCTGAAGAAGGCAGGGTAGTTTCGCCCCAAGCTGTCGATGGGTTTTCAGCAACATTATTAGCAGCGTTTTCCCTGAAGAAACTTTACTGCGGCATCTTGAATATCGTACCAACTGGAACATGAGGCAAACTTTGTGCAACACATTCTGCTGGAGAATACAAAAAACAAGAGATTCAGCTGAGATTTAGGTTAGTCTCCTGTGAAAACCAAATGAGTGCCCCCATTTCGTGCACTTGTTATCCGGTTCTTCACGGTCACCAGCGGCCCTCGTTTTGCACTGCCGTACAAGGAACACAGTAACACCCTGGCTTTCTGGGCACCGTACTCAGAGAGAGAGAGAGAGAGAGAGAGAGAGAGAGAGAGAGAAAGAGAGAGAGAGAGAGAGAGAGGGAGAGGGGGTACAC